AGGACCTTCCCAATTAAAACACTATTCTACAACAGAACTTAAAGATCACAGTTTGAAAAGTTGATATTGAACAAATAAAGAACAATTCATCACCATGGTATCCTGTAAACCAGGATTCAAATACTTAATCTATCCCTTGTCAGCAGAAGTCATTCAGCTTTCTGAAACCCTTTCTAAAATGCTTCCAATTTCCATGAAATTCAACCTCAAAAGATTGAATTGACATTTCTGGCAGTCACAGACTGTGACAAGGATGTATGACTGGCATCTAATGCACATCTCTCACGTCAGATCAATGTCTGCTAGTTAACTTCAACTCATAAAAACACAACCTGATCAGGCAAATGAAAACATCAGACTCCACACATCTTCTAAATGTAACCTCCTACCTTTTTCTTTAGGGGGAAAAGGCAAAACCAAAACTAAAAACCACCAAAAGACATACAGCTAATGCAGTCTGGCTGCACAAACCATCTTTCAGCCACTCAAAGGACAAGCTCAGTAATAAGCACACCCTTTCTCTGACCATGCTGCACTGTATACCATAGGACTCTTCAGCCGAGTAACCAGTTTTGCAGGCAAGTACCTTGGAGTTTTCATGCGTTATGAATAAAGGAAAAAATCCTATAAAAAGTGCAACATAAAACCCATGCAACACTTTTTTTGTTTGTTTGTTTTTAGACACTTACATGAAGCTTCAGTAATGGAGTCACATCATCCTGACAGAAATTGTCAGGACAAGATTCTTCCAGGGTTCCTGCCTGTGGCTTGGGACTTGAAGAGAGAATTTCTTGCAGTGGCATGAATACTTCCTCTTCATCATCATCATCTAGACTGCATTCCAAACTCTCATCTTCATTGTCAAAGCTGCTTTTTGATATTCCATTCGACTTGGACTTGTCCATACAGGTGCTTTCAACTTTTAATTCTCCTGAGAGTTCTGAAGACATATGGCCATTGTCCGTACACCCTTCTTTAAAAGACAGTGAATAGGGAACACTTCCACTGGTCTCTTCAGAGAGTGCAAGTTTCCCAGAACCTTCCACTGAACAAGAATCAAGAGGATTTTCTGAACACTTGTCTTTTGATTTTGAAGAACTGTTGCTGGACTTAATATTGTAATCTTTATTGTCTGCATGTCTTTCTGGTCTTCTCCCATCTTGCTCTTTCTTAGCATCCAGTACCTGAGATAAGTCAACATTCTGGAAATTAAATGTCACACCTTTTGTCTGTGTTACATGGTGGAGAGAAGGCAACACAGTACTTTTTTCCTGAGAAAAAGGAAGGGACTTTTCCAAGAAAAAGCATGAGTTAGCCACCTGCAATTGATTCTCTTTGGTATCCACAACAGAAATGTGGTTATTTTCATCAGGACTATGTGAAGAATATGAAGATGACAAACCTACAGAGAAGCAATTATTTTTTTCATTTTCATCACTGGAGTCGAGGTATTCCTTTGGAAGGATAGAATCATGTCTAGGTAGAGCAGAAACCTCCATGAGCTGCAGAACATCGCCACAAGTAGACTTTAAAAGGTTCTTTTTCACAAAGTCAGGCCTCCTAGTTTTGCATTTTGCTGATGATCTGCCAAAAGCAGGGTCATTCAAACTTGATACTTCAGATTGACTTGAACCACCTGCACCCACATTCTTGGCAGTGCATTTTCTTCTCCCAGGAAAGTCTATCTGTTTGGATCGCCCAGAAGACACCTTAGATATAAGACAGAGTGAAGGAGCAGACTGGCTCTTCCACATACCAGTGGCCTTCTCAGATGATGTTCTCAGTGCATTTGGAGATGTCGTCTCATGTTTTGAAACCTGCTTAGGCTTTGGTTGACATAGCTCATCTATGAAGTCTTTAAGAAAAAAGTAAACCAGTTGTCATGTTTGAAAAATAAAAACACTAAAATAGAGTATCAAAACTACAAGAGCTTACCCTCCAAAAAAAAAAAATTGTTTTCACAAGTCAGCTATGACTGAAATTTTTATCAGAAACTACAATACTTCCATTTTGCTTAAACACAGTGGACCACAATTAAGATTTAGCTGATACTGTATTGTTATGTTATTACTGCAACCAACTTGGAAATGAAATTAAATCCTTTTATTTTAAAGCAGCTCAGTAGGCATCATAGAATGCTTTTCATAAACACTAAGATTAGTCTCTGGAAACAGACAATAGCCCGGCTGATGTATGGGACTGGAAGAAAGTTTCTGTAATTATGTTGAGGGAGGTGATTCTCCCCTCTACTC